AAACTAATAGAACGTTGTTCTTCTTATAAATAAAATACATAACTAGTTGACATACATTTGGATGAATACAAATTAGGGACAAATACAAGATTCATAAACCATACAACATGAAATTTTTAATAAATACAAATATTGATAGTATACATAGTGATTTGAATACAAATTAAGAAAGCATACCAAATTCTAAAAAAAACTATAAATACAAAACAAACTAATAGAAAATTGTTCGCGATCTTCATCATCTTTTTCAAGATCCTCACGAGTAGACAAAGATTTTACATTTGCGTTCTGAATTTGAGGAAGGTTTTGCACACCAATGAGTCTTGTAAATGTTTTTACCATCTTTCTTCCCTCATTTTAGCAGCGGATCATACATTATACACTATTTGTTAAGTAATAAATAAATTAAAGGATGAAAAATCACCAGAAATTGGTTGATTAAGATGAATACCTCTAGTAAGCCTCTTGAATTCAGCCATTGGAGAGTAAATCATAACGAAAATTGAAAAATACAAACAACATTTTTTTAAGATTTAAACAAAAATAAAATTAGAAAAGAAATATGAAAATAGGGTAAAGATTAGAGATACCTTAATCAAAGGGATTCTTGTTGATTCAATTTTGGATTAAAAAAACAACCAAAATATATGGCAAAAAAATATTTGCAACTTGAATGTTGGAGGAAAATCAGAAAAGATAACCATAAGAGAGAAAAAAAATTAAATGGAAGAGAGAATTAACAATTTGAAAAGATAAATATGAAAGAGAATGATTTTTTTTTAAAAAAAAGGATATATAGAATTAATTGAAAAAGAGAGATAAAATAGGAAGGAAATTGGGACACATAAATTTTTAAAAATAATGACATTTTTGACATTATTGCTAATATTTATAAAGTATGAATATTTTTACTAAATATGTTATTTATTTTGACTAGTTTACTAATTTTTCCTTTTTTTTATCCATCTTGATATCCATTTTTTCTTAGTGGATAATATTAACATGTGATCCATTTTTAAAAAGTCGGTCATCAAATAAATAAACTTAGTAGCTTTAATTTTGAACCTACATATTTTAAGAAATTCAGTATTTATAATTATTTTAATGTGATTTCATATATAATATATATATATATATATATTTAATGATTTAATATTATCTATTGTCATTAATGATAAAAAAAAAAAGAAGCTAAATGCTACATTTATTTGATTGAATGTTATGTTGCTTACCTAAAATAATTAGAAATTAATTCTTATATATATTTTTTTAATGGTGCACCTATATTTTAGAAATTTAAAATTTACCTCTACCATTTTTATTAAGTATATATTATTATCTATATATGCGAGAGATCACATCCACCAAATTAGGGGATTCACCGTTCATTTTAATTCAATACTTTTTTAATGTTTAAACATAAATTTATATTAAAAAATTAGAGCAAAATTATCGGTAATTAATAAATATGAACTCAATAACTTTTTTTTATATATATAACTATGAACATCTTCAAACACTAAGAATCATATAATGTTAATTTGGGCAACTTTCACATATAGTAAATAAAAGAATTCATATGTATGCTATAGCAAAGTTTGTATTATTGCGCTCCATAGCAAACATAGAAATTGTATGATTCGCTATACCTATACAGTTGAAGAAAATTGTATAAAACGAAGTGTATAAAACAAGAAAGAGAAAGACACATGGGCAGAGAACTGTATAAAAACGAAGTGTATAAAATGAATTATATAATTATAAGTGTATAGAACAATTATATACAATTTGAATTTGTATAAAATGAGAAAGAGAGAAAGACAAAAGAAACTTGACAAGGAATATACAATTGAATCGAATTGTATAAAACGAGAAAGAGAGAAATTAGATAGAATTTAAAATTGTATAAAACGAGAAAGAGAGAAACGCAAAAGAAACTGGGCAGGGGAATATTTTTATTGTATAATTATAAGTGTATAGGACGAAAATATATGTACTTGCATGTGTATATTCAATTTTCTCACACTTTATACAAGCAGAAACGCAATTTATACATTTCGCTTCTGTTTGTATAAGTGAGAAAGGCGAGGGTGACAAGCGAGATTTGGGAGAGTGGAGAGCGAGATCTGGAAAAGGGAGAGAGGAGAACAAAAATATATGTATTTATACGATATTCTCTGCTTTATACAATTAGAAACAATTTTTGTACACTTGTGTTTGTATAAAAAGAAAGGAAGCGAGTGAGAGATTGGAGGAGAGTGGCGAGCGAGATATTTGGGAGAGAGGCGCCTGATAATTTTTTTCAAACGTTTGCTATGGAGCACAATTAAATCAAACTGTAACTACTCTATTTATTTTAGGTTATTAGTTTACTATTACATACAATTTCACATGTTAAAACTCATAAAATTAAAATTCTCAATTCAGGTCGGATCGATAATTTGTGATTACACCCTTTTGCTTTCTCGTGATCATTTTATTCCTTGCATTACGATCCCATGTGTTTGTATACACATGAATAGTATACAAACAGTAAAAACGTTACATTCGAAAATTCTGAACCAAAAAATTAAAAAACGAAACAAAAGACAAATTAGATTAAAAGTAGTTAAAATTTCAGAAAAGAGAAAATACAAAAGAATCTACACAGAGTCCTAAATAAAATATTAATTTTAATTACAATCATATAAAGTTACAATTATTAGACCAGGACTTCAATTAATCTTATATTAATTCACCGATTAAAGTTTGATTAAAAGGACATATATTTCAACCAAGTTGGAATTTTTCTTTCTGTTTTTTTAATCATAGTCATATCAATCAATTAATTAGAAAAAACAAATTGAAAACCCAAACCAAACTGTTTCAAATAAATAATAATAATACAGAGGGACAAAAAATATAATAATGTTCTGAAAAATAAAATTTTTTCTTAGTCAACTTTTAGGCATCCACTAACAAACATTATCCACGTCTATGCAATTTCATTTCATTAATTAAATAAAAAATAACAACCATTATAGTACAGTGTGTATAAAACCATTTGACTTTTTGACAATAAATAAATAAATATTAGAACATTATTATCACGAAAAAACAAAAATAATACTACTAAAATAAGATCAAATAGTGTGATTTGTCCCTTGAACTAGACCTATTCTGATTATTTCGAAAAGGTGCTTCTAGAAAGAAAAAAATAATTGTTATCATAAGAAATAAGTTGAGCACAGGACTAACATAAAGGTATATATGATTATTTCTTTTCCATTATTAGGAAATTCAACTAAAAAAAAATTGATTAGATGCTTAAGAAAATAAATCATAAAGTTTTAAAATTTATGTCTTCAAAAAGTGTAACCAAAAAAAATATTGCCCAAAAAGAACAAAATTTATTGAACTTAAAAGAAAGCAACATGTCACAATCATTTACCATTATCAAATCCTTCCTGTATATGGTTGACCTCATTGCTAGCTAGCACTTAAGAAAAAAGATCACCCCTCAAATAGTATCGGTGATTCTATGAGATAATAATTATTTTTTACTCATATAATTATACGAGAAATTCTCTCTATAGATCACGTATAACGTGTAGAGCTAGGTAGCGTTAAAGAAATTTGAAAACCCACTCCCACCTTCTTTTCTACCTACTTTTTTTTGTTTTAATCGCTTAGTACGAATTCTAACTCCATCACATATCACAAAAATCATATAGCACAAGAAAAGCAAAGAGTGGACATAGAAAAAATGAAGAAAATCACAAGATAAATACTTCTAAAAATTAGTGATTTTATTTTTTTTAAAAAAATACTCTCTCACTGATAAAAAAAAACTTCCACTCTTCTTTTGATGATGATTCAAATTCACAATCTCCAAGTTCTACAAACTTCTACTCTTTCATCGTTGACTCAAATCCATATTTTCAGACCTCAGAATTAAAGATGACTCAAATCTACAACTTCAGAGTTATAAAAACTTTAACTCTTACAAACTCAAATCCATAACCGAAGATGAAGCGTACTTACTAATTTCATCTTCCAATTGATTACTCAATACGTCACGTAACTCTTTGATAATAAAGTGACCGTATGAGAAATCAACTCGTCCTGCATTGATCACAAAAACCATAAACCAAAAACCAAGGAGTACAAGCACATAGGGAAAAAAAAAAGTAGAAGAAGAAAATCACACGATAAATATTGTTTATAAAATAATTGGTTGGTTTGTCTTTTCTCAGAGAAGAAAAAACACATTTAACAACTACTACCAACGAAAACAAACTTCTATCAAAAAACAAATAGTATCTTCATCATGTTCTTCTAATTTTTTTTTAATCATTTCAATTTTGATCATCAAAGTGAAGAAGTTGTCTACCACATCTTGGGCATTCCTCAACTTCTTTTGGCACCATGAAATACATCAAACAAGCCTTGCATCCACCCAACACTAGTGTTGGTGCTGCTAGTACTGATGGTGGTGCTGCCCTCCTTAAAGCCTCAGTAGTCAAAATATTGATTTGTGGTACTGTATTTTCAGCTCTTGAAGATGACAATGATGGCAATTCTTCTGAATAGGTTTCTTCACTATCATATGAGTTGTTATCATCATCGTCATCCTCGTCTGAGTACACTTGATCTTCTGCAACAACATTTGTCCTTGGATCTTCACTCACTCTCATCCCTGTCCTCCAGTTCAAATAGTAAATTTCCCCTGTCTGCAGCGGCAGAGTGAGAATTATCAGTAAAAACACTCAAAATACCAATTTTGACCTTCTGTATGCAGTGTAATTTTCTGACAAAAGACGGTCAGTCTCAATAAAAATAAATTAGACATTCGCAAGCTAATCCAAACATCATGGTTATAAAAGATGGGAGTAAATTACAACAATTTGTAAAAATTTCCTTACAACATATTTTTTTTTTTAAAAAAAAATGAGGAATTGGGAACCAAAAAAAGATTTTTCACATGTGAAGGAAATGGGGGAAAAAGATTCACCAATTTCAAAATGAGGAGTTTGTTTGTAATTAATTTTCATTCATTTTGTTTTGTCAATAATAAATGAAAGAGACCCAAAATGACAAACTGACCAAACATGAAAAAACAACAAGTATAAAGAGTAGTAAATGTAAGTAATAATTAATTATAATGAAATTAAATCCAAGATCTGGGGGCCTTCAAGGTTAAGAGAGCAATAAATGTCAAGAAAAAGACAAATAAATGGTAATACATACCCAAAAATAAATAAATAAAATTGTTATGTTACCTTCAAATCAAGGCATTGTTCCCAATGGTATGGAAGAGCAATTTCAGAATTGAGTTCCACAGTAGCATCATTTGAAGGGTTGTTGTTATTATTGAAGTTGGTGTTGGTGTTTCTCGATGAATCGGAAATCCCATCTGGCGGGGCGATACCTGCCGCGCTGTTGCGGCTGGTGCCGCCCCGCTGATGATGGTTACTCAGAGAACAATTTTGCAGAGAAGCTGTAATAGTAGCCATATTTGGCCCTGTCATCATTAGATCAAAAATACCAAAAATTTCCAAACAAATAATTTTTTTATATATATATATATATATGTGAGTTATATTTACTCCAAGAGAATTTAATTTGAGGGATTTTGATGATAATAAATAAATAAGTAGAGAACAATATGAATGCTACAGTAAAAACAGTAATTTGATAGAGAAGAAGAGAAGAGAAAGGGGAGAAAAGGGAGAAGAGACCAAAGAGAGTGGGAATCTTTTTTTCTTTGAAAGAAAGGGGCAGTGCAGTACAACTACCCCCACCTGATGATAGGACCAGTTTTTTTTTTTCCCTCTATCTTTTCCTACTCCCACGCACACCTTATGCCTTCTCTACAAAAATAACCTCCAACCCCATTTTCCCTATAATCACAATCCCCACATGCATCTCATGTGACTCAAGATTTTCTTTTTTTTATCTATATTATATAGCATTGTTTGATTTCACTTATGGGTGTTATTGTTAACGGATCGGGTTGAGTCAGTTCGGTTCAAAAAATATTTAATTTGAACGGTTCAGGGTTGGGGTTGGTTATTTGGTTTGGGGGTAATGGTTCGAATTGAATAGTGTTGGGTTTATTCAGGAAAGTTAGGCATCTAGGGTTGGGTTTTACTAGATATGATTACGGACGATTTGGTGATTTGTTCAGGAATGACGTAATACTTCTAGGTTGGATCTGTTTTGAGACATTAATAGTTTAGTTAAGATCGTGCGGTTTTGATTTGGTGTTGAATCCACCTAACCCTCTCTACGTTGGTTCGATTCAATTCGATCTGGATTAGTTTGACCCATTCAACAACCTTAATTTCACTTATGGGAGTGTGTGGTATGGTTGGAATCGATTTTTGCTATAAGTTAATCGATTCAGGAGAGACATAACACAATCGAGTTGAACAGATTTTGAGCAATTAATAGTCTAGTTAAGGTTACCCGATCCCGATTTTGTTATGAACTCAACCTAACTATGGCCCCTCTACATGATTCGAGCTCATCAGGGAGAAATCGGCTCAGTCAGATTGGATCTGGATCACCTCAACCCACCTAACACTCTTGGTACCACTTGTTGGAGTGTGTAGTGTGGTTATACTCACTTTTTGCTTAAAAGAAAATCAAACTAATTCAACAATTTTATAGATTGATTCACTTTTGCGATCATTTTTCAATTTTACCAAATGATCAAATTTTACCTAGATCTTATTGATTTATTAGCATCGAAATAAAATATAGTAAATATAAAGCAACATCAATAGTGATGAAATATCAATTTTAAATTTAAGATCTGGTCAAATGATGTGTATCAATGTAGTAAGATAAGTTGTGAAATTTATTGTTATAGTAGTTGAATCAAAATAAATATTAGTATAGAGACTTACATGTTTTCTTCCTGGTAGAAGCAGAACAGGTAGAGCGTGCAGTGTGATCGGACTCATTTTTTGCTGAAAAGGAAATCATACTAATTTAGCAATTTTATAGATTTATTCACTTTTGCGTTCATTTTCAATTTTACCAAATGATCAAACTTTACCTAGATCTAATTGATTTATTAGCATTGAAATAAAATTTAGTAAATATAAAGCAATATCAATAGTGATGAAATATCAATTTGAAATTTAGGATCTGGTAAAATGATGGGTATCAATGTAGTAAGAGAAGTTGTGAAATTTGTTGTTATAATATTTGAATCAAAATAAATATTAGTTCGAGACTTACATGTTTTCTTCCTGGAGGAAGCAGAATTGTAGCAACCACGCCTTTTGTCACCGGCCATCGAAAAAATTCACAAAGAAGATATACTTTTCGATCCACAACCTAGATACCCTTACTAACCCTAGCAGTCATATTATTGTGAAAAAATAATGTTCTATTAAACACTTGTAATTATATATTTATACTGTAAAAAATAGGGTTTAGGAGGCGGGCAAGTTAATGGGCTAATTGGCTAATGGACTAATTAACATTCTTTATGGGTAGACCCGACTCAGTAGATGTTTTCAACAATCACAAAAAAAATTATTTGGAATCTAAAGAAGTGTTGAATTGACTAGTATATAGTAACACATATCAAATAAAGAAATAAATTGACACTAAATTGATTTAACATTTTTCTTTTTATGCTACTGGAGTTCAAGTAGAATTGAAGGAAATATGATAAATAAACAAAATTCAATTTTAAAAAACTTATAGCAAATACTCTTTAGTGAACTAGGGGTAATACTATCTTTCTAAATTACTTGAATCAATTGATGTTGGACTTTATCTCAACTCCGATCTCGATTCTTCGTGAGTGACATCCATACTAATTTTTTATGAAAGAATCAATTAACTACTAACACACATTACTGAATAACAAAAATGAAGTAGTTCAGCACTTAAAAGCAAGATAAGTTTCATAATTGAAAACAGTAGTCATCAAACATTGTAGAAGAACTCCCTAGAAACTTAAAATTGTGTACCAAAGTCAACATAGTCTAGAATACAGAGACATAACCCCAAAATAAAAGAACTAAAGAGAGTCTAAGTCCATAAGAATGAACTAGAAAAATAAGATGAATCCATGACAATCTGGAAGAACTAACTTGCCCTTAGATTCAGCTAACGCTAGGATTATAATTGAGGTGGCGAATCAACCGTTGAAATATGTCTTGTTAGGAAAAAAAGAACAAGTACAGTATCAGTACCAAAAAGTTATAGTGTATTGACAGGATCATCGTCTAGTTCCAGTATACAAAATATGAACAAGCAATCATGATTTAATAAAACAGATAACATACAACTAATACCACAATCATAAACATATATCAGTTTCCCAATACTCACCCTAAATTGACATTCAGAGTAAGATTATAACAAGTCAGTTTGAGGCTCTCATAAAATCCACACACAAACACTCAATGTACAATACATGTTACCCCAACCAACAATTAGTAATTTATGTTGGTGTGGTATCCGAGCCAATCATATAAATTTCTCGTACCAAGCGTAATACTCAAGACAACCATTAGTATGTACCGAATGGTGTACCCAAGTCAACTATGAGTATGTACCAAGTATGGTACCTGAGCCAACTGTGAGATATTTTGTATTGGACGTAGATTCCAAGACACTCATCGATCACATTATACAATCACAATGAATAATAAACATATTTGTAAACTCAAGTAAACATTCTTTGCATGCGATTGGCAAAATTTAGTCTTTGAAATCATACTATTTTCATTTTCCAAACAAAATATCACGCATGCAATACTAACCAAGCAGTTAACAAGCAAATAAACCATGTATAAGAATATAAATAACCATTACCTACTTGAAAGGATTCATCCTAAATATTTCCTGATCATAATCTAATTACCGACAATCCTTTCTCAAGATAACCCAACAATCATCATAAGATCAATACTAACTACATGAATCCATCATCAGCCTAAACCACAACAAACCACAAATTCAACTATTCAAACTTCGTGCATGAAGGAATATACTTGTGATCTCCCAACCATCTATAAGATATCATACAAGTAAACACAAGCCTACATTCTTAGGTAAAAAGAAAACATATCCTGTTGGAATACAAAGCAATTGTTGAAGAGTACATAACACGAGCTTCTCGAAATATGGGGGAAATTTTGACAAAAAGTTTAAAAGAATTTTGTGGGTTATGACCTCTCTTATGCCGAAATCCCTCTCATCTAATGTTCCCCAACTTAGAGATGCTTAAGGCATGGGGGGGTTTAAAATCACACTCATCTATTTTACCACCGGAGATGAGCATGAAAAATTAAAAAAACTCACGTTTATGAGTTATGTCCTCGTTGACTAATTTAATAACATTATCAAAGAAAATTAATTCAGTTTTAAGAATCAACGATTATTAGTCAGTATATAACCGAACTAAATGAGTTAGGATCAAATTCTACAAGGAGTGTCACATGTTTAAGATTCAACGTGAAAGTGTGAACATATTCAAATCAACCATAAGAATAGATATTATCGAATAAAAATATAATTCAAATAAGGAGGTTACATGAATGTCAAATAAGAGGCTTTTGGTTTTGATTATCAACTACAAAAGTAGTAAATAATGCGAAATAACAATAATGAGATGAGTTCTTGGGATGTGATTCAATTATAGGCGTATCTAGACGAATGGGTAATTGCAATTGTTAGGGAATATTTGAATATTAGTGAGTAAGATAGACTAAAGAAGAGGTAAACTTTCTTTGGAACAATTTATTCAGAATCAAGTCGATTTCTCTCGAACATCGACAAATATGCAAAATAATAACAACCTACGCCTTAATCCATTCACTTTCTCGAGCTGAATGTGTGAAAAAGAGTTTAGGATTCAATCTCTCAAGCTGAACTCATGACAACCCAATACCCACCAACCATTAATGAATAATCTTACTTTTAAAACTCATCTCTCAAGCAAGCCAAAAACATGAAGGGAGAACTGCACTATAATTCATAAATTAAATCACAATTACTAAATAATCTCACCTAAAAAATATTTAGGCTAAATATTATTAATACCCATAAACTAAATCAGCTCATAATCACATAATCATATCCTTAAGAATTGGAGTTTTATCTAGACATCATAAAAAGATATTAGTCATTAACAAATTGAGTTTCCATCAACAGGTAAGATTAATTTCGTCTTTAAAAAAGTCCAAATCGAAGAATCTCAAAGACCCACTTCCAATTTCTCAAAAGTGAAAAACCTCAATTCCTCAAAGCTATGGAAAACATGTCTCACGTTTCACTCAAATTATGGTCTTCCACAGTAAAAATTATAAATTTACAATTAAACTAAATATTCAAAATGCATTATAGTCGCTAAGAATGTGTTGTAAAGGACCACTTGGTGCAGTAACTGGGCTCGCCGATTCATTCGGTGATCTGTCCTTTGGTCAATTTCATTCTCTTTGTGCCTTGGCCTTCAACATCCTCTAGGTTTGTAACTTTGGGCGATCCAACACTGCATTGCGGAACCACTCAGCGATCCACCGACTGCTCATTTCTTTCTCCGACTTGATTTTCTCTTTCATAGCTTGGCACACTAGAACTTTAGGCTGTCAAGTAGTCCTTCGGCTATTCGCCAAGTAGGCTTGGCGATCAAGAGGCCTCTTTTTGGCAAATTAGTGACTTTGCATTGTTCCCCAATCAATATACGTGGAAATCAAGGGTTTTACATTAGTTATTGGCACAGAACAAGCATTTGAGGACACTAAATCATTATAAATAAAGCCCTAAATATGGCCAAATCTAGGACTCATCAACACACCAACTTAAACTTTTGTTTGTCCTCAAGTAAAACTCAAGTTCAGCGGTTCTAAAAGGA